TGTAGGATTTAGGATTTACGATTTAGGGTTTGTGATTTGGGGTTTAAGACTTAGGGTTCAAGGTTCTGAATTTAGGGTTGGGGCGTGGGGGATTCCAGGGCATTGTGGGAGAGAAGGGATTATACCAGCTTAAGGATCATTATCATCATAGGGCTCAAACGAGGCCCCAAACCCAAACCCCCACCAGGAACTATCGCGGCCGCATACAGTGACTAAGGCGCCTGTTGATGATTAAGGGCCTCTTTTGAGGAGGATCTTATCAACCTTGTCATGGTAGGTCCCAATTCAAAAAGGCGTGGAAGTAAGTGTTTTGGGTTTGCAGCGGGGTTGTAGGAGTTCTAGGCTTTACAGGCTTGATGCCGTTCATGCGGCTTACAAGGTTTGCAGGGTGTATCGAATTTAGAGCTTGGGACTTCTAGCTTCCTTTTCTCGCCCAAAGCAGCACGCGAAATTGCTTTCCATGGGAGCCCGCTGAAGCACCTCTTAGAATGGTCCCGAATATCCCCAGAACAATCATGATGATGTCCTTTAGACTTGCGATGCTGCAGCATACAGACTGCCCGTAGTGCCCTACACACTATCCGCACAGCATCCCTTAACTGCCTTGCTGCTGACTTGTTTGAACCGTACTTGTGATCTTGAATTCCCACTCTGTGCCTTTCAACAGAACGTTGGCTACGCACGGCTTTTACCTGAACCCGGCCCCTCAACCCCAAATCTCCAAGGATCTGACACCCTCAGCCCTGACCCTATAGAGCTTAAGCCCTGAAGCCTCAGCCCTAAGCCGCATAATCCCAAGACATAAGATATCCTTGTATATTTCCGATATGGGTCTAAGCCCTAAACCCTAAGACCCCCCCTTGCGACCTTTAGGGCCCCTATAATCTTGGACCCTTAGGGCCCATATAATCTCTGCTACACTCGATTTGTCCCTACATAGAAGCAACTTCACTTCGGATGCCTTCGGCGCTGAGAGCGCTCCTGCCTGGAACCGACTTCCGCTCCGCAAAGTTTTGAGGGCTTAGCGATTAGGGCTTTAGGCTTTACCTAGACCCCCCAGGTACCCTCTATAGACCCTAGGTATCCCCCATATAGAAGCTACATAGACCCTATTTTAGGATACTTGGGGGGTCTAGGTAGGGCTTAGGGATCTAGAGTTTAGGGATCCGGGGGTCGAGGGTTTAGGGATGGAGTGAGGTTTAGCAATTCAGGATTTTGGGGTAAGGGTTGACGGATTCAGGGTTGATGCACTTGGGGACTTAGGTATCTAGGATCCCAGGCACTGGAAAGTCTGAGCTTTAGGGTTTGAGCTTTTGAAAAGTTGGGTGTGTGAGTGTCTTTTTGCGGCAGGGAGTCAGGAGTCTTGGGGTTACAGATTGGGGCGTGTAATCAAATCTGCCTACAATTCTGTCTCTTACAAGAACTCCTGGTGACTTCTTCTCAGATGCGCTTGCGCCCTGACGTGGTGTTTGGGGTCTAGGAGTTTGATTCTTGGGTTGACTTTGGAGATTTAGGGTTCAAGCTGTGGGTCAAGGGGCTAAGGATTAAGTGTCCGGAATGCAGGGTTCTCGGATAAAGGGTTTGGGACACAGAGCTTGACAGGTCAAATCCTCCATGACTGCAGGTACTCCAAACACCGGGGCTTCATCCCATTCTTAGTTCTGGGACTATCGAGATGTGGCTCAACAACCGCATCAAAAGGTTCTACAAAAACGTGCCATGAAGTTCAAGTTGGTGAGATCTGGGAAGTGCACAGTCGCAGGCTTCTTGGTAAGTAGGCTCGCTTCCTTTTGCCAATGAGCAAAGGCATATACGATGAACAACTATTGAGCTATGCTTCGTTAAAAGCACTGTCCTTTGTACTTTTCCGCTTTCTTGATGTCTAGAGGGCTAGCTTTGAAGGTGTAGGATGCAGTGCTCAGGGCTCAGCATTCAAGACTTTGGGCCAGATCTTGGGGATGCTGAAGATCCAGGAGGCAGGTTTGAGGGTTTGGGGGAGCCTAAGGCCATGCCTGTACAGCACAAACTCTTGCGCAGAACATGTAGGTACTAGAATGGGCCTATTACAGAACCCAAGAGATGTGGAACTTACTGTTTCGCAGCTTGGAAAAGAAGGCACTGCTGCGTACTGCAACTATTCCGCGCTTAATTCTAGAAATCCCACAGCCTCGACCCAATAACTTCCAAAAACTGTTTGCAGCTCAGGCGCATCCGAAGCTTCCTCCAACTTGGACCTAAGGCACGAAGCCCCAAACAAAAAGAAAAACATCAACAAGGCTTCAGGTCTTACACGCTGCTGTCTAGATTTGATGCTGTAACTAGGTCAAACCGCATCCAGCTCGCTTTTCCTGAGGCCAGACACTAAGCCACTTCAATATCAGCACTTGCAAGGAAATCACATCGAACAATACCTAACTCTTTGCCCTGAAGGTCCTTATCTGAGAGGCGCACTCCGTGACCGGAGGAAGACGACCTGCAAAAGGTCACGTCATCTTCAATTACTTTATGCGGGCAGTGGAATGCTGTGTAGCTGGGCCGCAAAAGAACCTGATAGCGATGAATATCACTCTTAAGCTTTTCGAGGCAACTTGCCTGCCTACTATAAGGCTCAGCTTAATTAGATGGGTCAAGGGGTCCTGTCGTCGGGGCTTCAATTTGCACGTGCGAAGCTCATAGAATGCATGTTCTAATAATCTTCCCGCCTATTAGGCCCAGACGCGACCGCAAGACCCAGGCGCAATTCTGTGTAGATCTATCTGAGAGATATATAGGTACCTGCTCCTCTTGAAGTAGAGCTTCAACTGAAGTCCAGTCGAAACTGGAGCTTTCTACGAAGCGCTTGTCTTGAAGCAATGCGAGGAATGCACGCATCCGGCTGCACTCTACAGCAAAAAGTGCTTCCTGAGCACGATTTAGCGATCTAGCTGAAGCAGTGCGCGCTGTAGGAGCCACGCAATCTGAACTGATTCATCTGCATCTTTGACTGCTCTGCGAAAAGCGTCCCCGGTCAGGTTCCGCCACTCTTCATGGAGAACTCTCGCACTCGGTGAGCCGCTGCACAGACAAGTCAAAATCAGTCATCCATAATTAAGTGGGCATGCCCCAGGCTTTACAAGATAAGTCGGAGCGTATGAACATCGGAGCAAAGTCTGCATGAGGCCAGAGCTCCCTCTAGAAGGCTGATGCCACGGGATACATCCCATATTTTGTCACTCCATTGCAGGCCCTTTTGCAAGGGAACTCTCGTCAGCGCAGGAGCTGAACTGCAAAGTATGATGCAACGGCGACGAGGAAAAGAGCTTCCCAAAACATAGTTTGTGATGCCTTGCTCTTCTGCAGCACTTCCTGCAAAAGTGCCTGCAACGATGATAGGCACATGCAATCTGAAGGTTGTCACCCGTAGACTGGACAACCTCGAGGGCATTGCTTCGCATACTGGCGTGACCATGTCGCCAGCCCATCTGTGGTAGACCAAGATGTTGCCAAGAAGAGTATTGAGCAAGGTGCTGTCTGTCTGGGCACGAGCCATATCTGCAGCCACCTGCGTCACCTCCAAGGCCTCTGCAAACTGTCCATCTACGTGCACGATTGCTTCGCCCCAAAAAACTCCCAGCATGCGTGACTCCAGATCTTCCCTACCATGCTTGCGCGCCAGCTGCACTGCTCTCTCGCTTTTGGGGCGATAATTCGCCCACTCACCTCGTGCGTGACATTGGAGAACTTCGTCCACCAAGTCTTTCAAGGACTCTTCACTCTGCTCCATACTCCAGCTGCACGCATAAAAAAGAAGTCAAGCTAACAACTGATGCATGCATGGTTCCAGCTGTGGTAGCCATGATGATTTAAGTGTCTTCCGCCATGGACTATGCACGATGTCAGTAACATTGGTAAGCACAGCCACGGCAAGGATGTGCAAACTGTTCAGGACCCTGCAAGACTTGGTCCCTTCCTGGTTTTTACCACCGAACTCCCAGCTTACAATGTTAGAGATTCTAGGTTCGGGGCAATGGGGGGCTTGGGGATGTAGGGAACTCAGGGCTGTCAGTCGAACCCAAAGTCCTAGTAGCTGAACCCACAAACTACTGTAGCCACCGGAACCTCCAATAAACTAGATGGGGGATTGTCAAAAATATGGTCCCTTTTTGGGTCCCCTAAATTAAGCCCCGTATTAGGCCCCGTATTATAATAGGGACCCAAAAAGGGACCATAATTTTGACAATCCCCCAGATCACCAACACAACGAAACCAAGAGGGCCTCGCCATCCTCGTTGTCCTCCGAGGGCAGCTGGTCGATCTGAAGGGGTATCAGTGGCAGATCCTCACACAGCTGAAGCTTCGGGTTAAGGTATGTTAAGGTAGGGTTAGGATTTTAGGGGAGTCGCCATCTTCGTAACTGTCGTCGCTTTGGGACCCTCGTGTTTTCGTCGCCTGTCAAGTGTCAACGATCACAGGGATGGGGCGCCTGGAGGGACGGTCGCCATCCAAGAGTGGAAAACGGAGTGGAATGTGAAGTGGAGAATGGAGCGGAATGGGGGAGAGTGTGGAGAATGGAGAGTTTGAAGAGTGGAGAGTGGAGTGGAGAGAGCGTGTGGGCATGGTGTGTTGGCATATAATTTGGAGGTTAGGCGTTCAGGTCTTGTAGAACTGTCAAGGGTCTGAACTGACTGGTTGGCTCGGACGGTTTGTCGGGGAGGGCCTAGGAAGAGACTAGGGATAAGAAAAGCGAGCCGGGTGCCTCAGGAACTTCGCCAGCAACAGCATCCGCGCCTTCTTTCGCTGGCTCCTCCTGCAATGCTTGTGGCTTCGGGGTTTGGGTGTCCAAGGCTCGGTACAGGATTCAGAGAAACCTGTCATGTTTATGACATATGGTAGTTTCCCTAAATGGGGGGGACCCCTAATATAGACCCCAATATACCGTAATCCTTACTATAGGGATCCCCAAAAAGGTACCCATAATTTTGGGAAACCCTAATCCCTATAATCCCCTATATAAACCCAGTTTCCATTTGATGTTACATTTCTTGTCCATTTGATTCTCCATTATAGTAGGTACCCATCATTTTGGGAAACCCCCTAAACCGTAATTCCTACATAACTCCTACATCCCCCTTTAAAGGTACCCGTAGTTTTGGGAACCCCCCCCATATTTTGTACTTTTCTAGCTTTGGGGCTTGGAGGCTGTCCTCCAAGCTGTCCTGGACAGCAGATGCGGGTGGCTCCGGAGCCACCGAATTCTCGCGCGCCTCCAAGGCAGGGGCTTCAGTTTTTCACAATTTCAAATGGGTGGTGCTCTTATCACGTCAAGATCATATCATTCTGAAGGGTACCTGGTTTTGAGAAATCTGGTTTTGAGAAATACACACTGTCAGTCCATACCCTCGCACCTCCGGCTCGGGCGGCGCCGGCTCTAGAGTTTTTGCCTGCAGTGGCTTTCTGGCTCTCTGCAGCTGTTCACAGCTTAGCGCGCAGCATTGCTGCACGCACTACAGTGCAAACTACTCCGAGCCTCTGCTTGCTCCGCAGTAGCCGCTGCAGTACCCTTCACCTGAAGGCAAGTCTCAGCAAGCAGCTGCTGGTACTTGCCCCTCCCGCGCCTCAACAGGTTCCAGATGCTGTGTAGCTTCTGGAGACTGATCCGTGATTGGCACGTCCGTCTGGCAGGTGGCTTTTGGAACCAGGTACTGCAATGGACTCGCAAATGAGGGCCTCCTTTGTCTTCCCCGCATCTGGCTCAGAAACCTGCGCAAAGGCACGTCGACAATCAGGGGCAATTAGGTCGCGCAGCTGCTCTGCCTGTGGCACTGGAGAGATTGCCACAGCCTCAGCTGGGACGACAGGATCTGGTGGCGCCTGCTCCTGGGCAGAGCAGCTCGACAGAACCACGCTTTTGGGGTTCCAAGAAAGCCTTCGTGTCCGGATCCGGGTTGCGCTTCCAAGGCAGTCTCCGCCGATAGGATCCTGGAGAAGTAGCACCTGGAACTATGAGCAAAACAGACCATGATGGATCTGAGTGGTCGCCTTCTGCATTTACAGGCTGCCTAAAGCACGCCCCCAAGGTTCTAAAGTCTAATAAAGCCATCACTGATAGAGTGCGGGCAAAAAGGGCTTGTAAGTGAACTTCCCAGTGTATTAGCAAAGAGTTCAAGAAAAAACTGCACATGAAACCGGTGACCCCAAACATGATGACAACGACGGACGCCAGCTGAAGAAACCTTGCATCAGCACCTTGTCCCTGCTCCGTCGAACTTGGGCTGTGTGGCAACACCTGGCACAGGTCCCCTGTCAAGAAAGGTGGAAGGGCTGCGAGCTCTGGATCTCTCAGCATGCCTCATCTTGCTGACCTGATTCCAGCTCCACAACCTGCACCACATGTTGATGCCAATGCCAAATTTGGCATGGGTTCAGAGCCGCGAGGGCCTGCGGCACCGAGGAGATTGTCACAGCCTTCGCAGGCGGGACGACAGGATCTGGTAGCTCCTGCTCCTGGGCGGAGGAGCTCCAGACGACACACTTCTCTACGAGCAGCCCATTTCAAGAATGCCTTCTCGTCCGGATCTGCGTTGCGCTTCCAAGGCAGTCGCCTCCGGTGGGCTCCTAAAGGGGCCACTGATACCAAGAAGCTGCAGACATTTTTTTTGCTAGGAAGGTTCTCATGGGGACCTTTATACAACGGATCGCCAAGCTGTGGAGTGTTCATGATCCACTGTCAGAGGCAGGGATTTTGTGACAGCAACAAATATCACTGCAAATGGAGCACAGCGATCCACTTCCACTTTGATCGCCCCCCAAGCCGTTCGAACCTCTGACTACCCCCCCCTACCACACCAAAGCCTGAAAACCCTAAACTCCTAAGACCCCGAAGCCCTGATCATGTTCTCCTTGCCCCTGCTCCTTTGGGCTTGTTGAAGTAGGCGGGGCCTGGCGGTGTAGAGCTGTGGGGCTGACCAAGGCTTAAGTGTGAGCAGCTGTTTGGGGACCTGGGCACCAGGATACATGGTTCAGACTGAGTGGGGGCACAGAGTCAGACACGGGACTTCTGGTTTCGAAATGCTGTTGGAAATATCGGCTTTGGAGCTTGGCGTTGAGGAGTTCCGAATGAGATGTTGCTCTGGAATTTTGGATTCCAGCCTCTTCCTGTATAGGGCTTAACTGGGCTAGATTTAGCGGCCCTATCAAAATTGAATTCTTATGGCTTTCTGGCTTGATAGGGAAGATATAGGGATTAAGGTCCATAGTACGTGAAAGTTATTCTCAGGAATCCCTTTTCAAACAAGGACTCAGGCTTTTCTTGCAAGAGTTAATAGGTTGCTCCTACTGCCTGCCGGTAAGGCTGAGACCGGCTGGGTATCAAAATCCGTTCAGGGTTTAAGGCGTAGGGCAGCGAACCCTGGCCCCCCAGCCCGAAATCGTCAACCTCAATCAGCACAGCTTGAGAAAAAACTGGACCCTGAATCCAAGACCACAGACCTTCAACTTTGGTTCTTGCGGCCTAGGGTTTGTACACACCCAGGGCTAGTAAACCCCAAAGGGTCCATGCCCTAAATTCTCCAATCCCTACACAATCTCGGTGGAATCCCCACAGGCCACGGCGTAAGCAAAGCGCCCATGGAAACCGCTCTAAAGAAAATGCTATGCCTAGGAAGTAAACCACCAAACCCCTACACCCCACAACCCTAAATAGTGGTTTCCATTTTCTCTTGCATTATCCCTAAATAATCCCTAATATACCACTAGATAACCCTATAAGGTACCATAAATCCTTACAGCTGGTGGCTTTCAGCCTCCACTCGCTCGCTGTTGCCGCTGTTGCTCCTCTTAAAGGACCAAGACTTCTTTTCTTTCTTCGAGGCTCCTCCACACGGGAAGGCCATGGGACTTAGGTGACATTTGAAGCATGACAGGGCTTTTTTTGCCTGCAAGGCAGTTCCTAAAAGGCGGGATATTACACCATGGCCATATATTAGATGATATACGAATAGGAACCCAAGTACGAGGACGTCATATAGACATCTGTAGGAATGCTTTGAACGGGAGCGTCTCGGATTTTTGCGGATTCTTACTAAACACTAGTTTTGCAACTTGGGTCTGAGGCTTAAGATACCCTTCGCTCAAAAAGCTACATGTCCTGACTGAACTGCCAGGAAGAGCTAAGACAAACTGCAGTACTCGATCCTATGGCCTATGGTATGGAAGCTGAGCAGCCGGAGTGCAGATCTTGATCAGAGCTCGTGCGGCTTGCACGCGCATATCACAATTGTTGGATGAGCGGGATTTTTCCTAAGCCTGCAGCACTCTGTGAATGATTCTTCCGTTTCAAATCGGAGCATGCCTATGAGCAGGCCCTTTACACCTCTTGTGTACCTAAGGCTTCAGCGAGGCTTAGCAAAGCCCATCATGCCTCCTGGGTGAAGGCCTTTCGGACGAACCCGTATCAAAACTAGCGACTGCTTTCAAGTCTCGGGAGGCGCGTTTGGATTCAGGGCTTGTGGGCGCAGATTCTTCCCTTTTGTCAACCTACTTGAGAGGGGGGCCCTCACGCTCTTGGGCTGGTCACAGTCCTATCTATCGACCGGATCATCATGTTACGGTACAATGCTTATGGCAATGTTCCCCAAAGTATTGGCTGAAGCATACACTTTTGCAGGACAGGGAGGTCGATCTTCCGCAAGTGTGACCGCAACAGACTAAATACAGCGGATGCGCGGAACGCGGAATAGATCGGAGACTCCCCACTGTTGAGTTTTGATTGAGGGTGGCTAGGAGCCCCATTTCTGGATTACAAGCCCCTCACCCCAAAGCTACAACTTTTAGACCTAAAACTCCAGAGGCTCCAAAATCCGCACCCCGAAGCTGCTCTGCCTGGGCTTTCTGCTGCTGCCAATCGCTCGGCTCCCTGAGTTGACTGCAAACCCACTCGAGGTAGGGAGGGGGGAGGGGATAGGATGAGACAGGGCCATATGAGCCACAGTCCATATAGGGTCATATGAGCTATAAGTCCATATTTCCACAGGAAACTAGCTACAGACCATATAGGGTTATATGAGCTATAAGTGCAGATTTCCACAGGAAACTACTGGACATGGGAATATGTGAGGGACTGTTCTAAACTAGCAGAGGGACCCCTAGTCCACTGCTAAGGGTCCCTTAACAAGGCTAACATTGACAGTACTTAGCTCATATGGGATTAATATGAGGTTGCATGGAATTCGCCGAGGCATCCAGC